TTATAGACGGATTGGTCTGGGTGGGATGTTCTGTGGGTTGGTGTGGACTTGTTGGGCCGAAGGTCCTGTTTCCGTACTGTAGGGATTCTATGATTCACTAACGTCCTTTAGGGAAGGAAATCTACTGTCCTTACCTGGTCAGGCCTTAATGTGTTTTCAAACTCACAGCATTGTAGTTGATTCTTAACTGCCCCATGGACACTTAGGAATTTGCAATAAATTCTGACTTAGGCAGCAAAACACGTACGACTAAAAAGAATCATCAGTGGTAAAGTCATTGAACATCAAGGGTTAATAGCATTCCCCTGTTTCCCATTAACTCAAGTCCTACTTGAACTCCTTGATTCCACACTCAGTTGTCACCTTGATGTCAAGGGAAAACATTCTTACATCACTTCTTGACTTCATCTGACTTCATTTGTTCATGTCCAGACCAAGGCTAGAATGAGATCAGGAGCTGAGTGGCCCTCAGAGAACCTGAAAATCAGATAGTTATTTTTGCTAATTGAGTGCTGTTTCATAACACTATTGATGACCCCCTTCCATCACTTTACTGATGATTGAGAGTAGACTAATGAGCAGGAGCTTGGATCTTGGTGTGAAGGGGTCAATTTCAAAGTTTGCAGATGACACAAAATTTGGAAGAATTGTAAAATGTGAAGGGCACATTGTAGAACTCTAAAAGGACATTGACAAGTTAATGCAGTGGGCAGACAGGTCAGTGGTAGGGCAAGTGCAGAAAGTAATCAATAAGGCATACAGTGTCCTCAACTTTATTCATAGGGGCAAGGTGATTTTGAACCTGTATAAGACACTGGTTAGATCCCAGATGGAGTATTATGTGCAATTGTGGACATCACATTATAGGAAAGATTCAAATACATTGGTGCAGAAATAATTCACTAGAATGATTCCAGGGATGAGGAACTTCAGTTATGAGATAGATTGAAGAAGTTAGGAGCGTTCTTCTTGGAGAGCAGAAGGCTGAGAGGAGATTTGATTGTGGTTTTCAAAGTCATGATCCGTCTGGATAAACAAAAGCTGTTTCCATTCATAAAAGGAACAGTAATAAGGGCATAGATTCAAAATGATCTACAAACGAAGCAAGGGTGATGTGAAAAGAATGTTTTCACACAGTGCACACAGTTAGAGTACAGATTGCATTGGCTGGAGGTGTGGTTCAATTGAAGAAGTCAAGAGGGTATTCGATGATTGTTTGGATAGAAATAGTGTGTAATAGTGTGAGACAAAGCAGGAGATTGGCACTTGGTGATGATACTTGTCTGAAGGGCCAGTGCAGGAACAATGACCGAAATGGTCATCTTCTATATTAAAACCATTCTGAGAAGTTCTGCATGCAAATACTGAGGATTCAAATGCATTCAGGGAGACAGACATTTTGCCCTATCTTAATTACATGAAGCTTTGAATTTTATTTTATTTCAAAAATAAAGTTTATTCATAAAAATATCTATATATATAATCACAAATGCAGTTTTGTTCTGTGCAGTATCATATCAAGGATACAAACAAACATTGGAGTTTAACTCTATCCAACGAACAAACCAAAGGCATCTCTCACTTACACAAGACTATATTTACATGCATTTGAGGTACCAGGAGGTTCTAATAGGTACAGAGACCTTAGACAGTGGTCTCTTCCCACTGCTCCTTGGCGACAGCTACCCCAAGCTTTAGTGCATCCCTTAGCATGTACACCTGGACACAGGAATGTGCCAGTCTGCAATACTTGGTCGGGGTCAACTCCTTGTTTGGAAGACCAACAAGTTGTGGGCAGACTAAAGAGCGCCTTTCACTGAGTTTATGGTCCTCCAGGCGCAGTTGATGTTTGTCTCTGTGCACGTCCCAGGGAACAGACTGTAGATCACTGAGTCCTACATCATGGAGCTGCTTGGGACAAACCTCAACAGAAACCTCTGCATCTGTCTCCAGACATCCTTTGCAAAGGCACATTCCAGAACAAAATCTGTGACAGTGTCTACCCCACCCCACAGCAGCTTCATGTGGCGCAGGTAGACCGGGGTACAAGAAAGTGCCCTTCTCACCACCAGCTAAATGACATCTTGGTGCTTGTTGGAAAGTTATGGTGATGAGGCATTCTGCCAAATAACTTTGTTAGTCTGCTCAGGAAACCACGCGACACAATCCTCCTTTTCCTTTTCAAAGACACAACATGTTGACTACTTCCTGATGGACATGTGGCCAAAGGTATTTTTTTTTGCAAATTTCTTCAAGAAGGACAAGTGATTCGGAACAGCCCAACTACATAAAGCATTCTGCAGCAACAAAGCTAGTCTAATCCTTTGCAACACCAGGGACATGTAGAACCTCAGGACATGGTGACACTTGCTGTTTATGTATTGATGGTCTACGCACAGCTTGAACCAGCCCAATGTTGCAAGTTTATAATATAAGAAATAATTTTTAAATGATATAAATAAGAAAATATATCTAGTCAAAGCTGTTTACCTTAAACTCGTTAGAACTGTAATGTAGGGAAATCAATTTAGAAAGGAAGCACAATGTGTGCAATATGGGAAGAGGATGCTGAATAGTTGTGCTATTCTTGGCAGGGGCTTCAGCAGGTACAGTGCACAGTCGCAGCAAACTGATTAAATTCAAATCAGGCGAGTTGACTCTGATTTGTCAGGGTGTTGCCATGGGGATTCAGCAGGGGCTGACTAACTGACTGTCTCCGCAGCCCTTTCCTGTGAAAGTGAACGTGAATCCAACTTGCATAAGTCGCTAGTATTTATGGCTAACAAAGCAATCTTATCGGTATAATTTTCCTCCTGACTTTCTCCCAAATAGCAGCTAAATCTGAACAGAACCAACTCAGATTGCACAAAATGTCAAGTGGTTTTAGTTGTGACCTTACTTACAAACACATGTGCATAACCTTTTAAACTTGATGCTTCAGCCCTTCACCCAGGCCAGTTCCTGCCTGAAAAACTGGCCACTTGCCTGTGAACAAATACAGATTTCTTCCAATTGCACTTGTATGGGCCAAGAGGGGTTAGTTCTATTGCATACGGTCAGATGAAGTGTTGATGGGGATTTCTCGTACCTCGGAGGATATAAATGGGACAAAGCTGACACATTTTTGTCCCTGCTTTAAGTTTTCGGCCAACAGAATTTAATTATTTTCAGGCAAGACTTTCATTCCATTCAGTCCCTGTGTTATAAAGCTTGGGGGCTTTTTACTCCAGTACTAGCAACACCATCGGTAACAGTAGCCCCTACTGATATTGCAGGAGACCCTGAGAACAAAGAGTTATCAGGAATATTCCAAAACCTCTAGCAAGTTCCTCAATCAGGGCCTGCAGACCCCACTAAATAATGTGGGGCAGGGCGTTTTGGACAAGGTGATGGGGAGGATGGCTTCAGGGAAGGAAAACTGAGGTGTGAGATTTCCGACTGGCTCCAGGGACTTGGAAACAAGCTGCCTCACAGCCCCGTTTCACAGCTTGTCACCTCACAGCACTTTGACCATAAACCTCTCCTGCCACCCGATAAAACTAAGCGGCACTGTGATAAGGCCCTTAGGAGGGATGGGATTGTCCGCTTTAGGGCCTCAAATGGGCCACGAGTGTGCGGTAAACACAATGCTAACCTTGTCAATCGTACAATTGCCCCGTTTATTGACGCAGCCGCCTACTTTCCAGCCCTTGGATAGCCTGTAAAATGCATCTCCAAGGATCAATGCAGAAGAGGTGGTTGTATGAATCCAGCACAAGCAGCTGGCCAGCAGTAAACTAAATCCTGATCGACTGCTGCAGAAATCACTCATTCCTAATAAACATTTGATGAATGTGCCATTTTCTGGCAATTCCTCTGCAGGATAGGAAATGATAAAAAATACTTCAGACACACTGCAGAACAATTTAAATTAATTATTCTTAAAAATTCGCAGGACAGAGAGGTTGGTACTGCTTAACTCCTTTTGCTTTTCAGTTTAAAGGGAAATCATTCCACTCAGCTTTTATGATCCTCCACCTTGTGCCCTGCAGGTCTATGGCTCTTTTCCACTCTTAATTCCATTGTGTACAATTATGCTCATGCTTCACACTGATTTTACAGCAGGTTTTAGATTTGGATTTGTGTATTTGCTTGCGCAGAAACTTGGCTGTAATTTCAGGACAGCCAGAAGGGTGCAGTGTTGGGAGCATTCTGGGCACAATTTGCAGATAGTAATAAGCAGAAAGGCTCAGGGCCCATGTCCATGTTTAAAAGCCGTGTTTATACCATGTCTCTATTCCAGTCAATCTTGCAAAGAGTGCTGGACTCCTTCCAGTATTGTGGTTTTATGTTCTCTCACAAGTACCCACAAACATGAATTCTGACACCCTTTATCACACAAAATATTTTACAAATTAAACATGCAGATAAGCTGCAGGGTCACTGCTCTTAGGAATTGCTCAATCATTTGCAATGCTTGCAGCAGTAATACCAAACTGTACTCACTATGACGCTTATTGTGTTATCTGTTACGTTTCTAGGCACTGCAAAATATTTACATTGGGAATGAACTGACATGTTCACTGGTTTCAGTCATCATAGACTCTATCCTATATGAGTGCATCTAGCTTTGGTACAAAGATGTACAAAACTTCAGCTGCAGTCCTTGAATTGCCCTGTCTTATTTCTAATTTTCTCACTGTGTTACAAGCAGACTCGATCACCGCAATTCTCACAATCTCACTTTGAGTTCCATCTCCGTTTATGTGAACTTAGCTTCAAATGGTGAAAAATAATTTTCCACAATATGCTAAAAGGGACTGATGAATTGGCATGGTACACCCTCCAAATATCTAAACGAACACTATATGCAGTATTTCAGGGTCAAGATAGAATAGAATCAGATACTGCAACCGAATTCCTCTGTTTTATTATTTAAACGCTAAATGGCGTAGAGGACTGAAAGAAGTATTTGCTTTAACCATTTATCTACCCTAACAAATGCATAATTTCTCCTTCAGCACCTCATGAGTATTGTCAGGAAGAAAACTACAACTCTGTGGTGTGGACAAAGACACCAGCTGGAGAGTCTGCAATGGTCAGTTGCCCACCAAGTGCTGCAGGTAAATATTTCTGGCAAGGAGTAGACCTCTTCTTCCTTTCGAGGGGTACATCATATCTCCATTTAAGAGTTAGAAGTTTTGAATAAGCATGGTGTTGGAATTGAGTTTGGGATGGAATGTCAGTAACTGTTGGATGTTTTTTGATATATGTAGGTCGCAGTATTAACACCTCTCCTTAACCTTATAATGCATATAAGAGAGGTTGGGATGGGGAATAAAATGTGAAAATCAGTGAATATTTTCCTAACATTCTGCATAGTTGCCTGCTGCTGGTTTTGATTTGTGGTGGGCCAGGTTGTCTTAGAGAGGCAGAACTCATTATTAGCATATTTAAACCAGGCTCTCTCAATGCAATTTGGAAACTGAGTTAAAATGAATGATTTTGATTTTATTGTCACCTGCATTTTACAGTAAGAATACAATAAAATACAGTGAAAAGCTTTCATTTCTCACCATGATACAGCATTTTGATTTTTTGAATAATTTAAGAATGAGGTAAAAAAAAGAAAGATATTGCTTTAAGAATGCCTGACAACTGAGTTTCCCCGGGCTTAAAAATCATAGCAGGAATATAAGTGCTGGCTTCTGAAGGTAATGCTTCTTTCTCGCACTCCTTCTGGGCCAGTAGGGCAGGAGCATTCCTCCCACTCGTTCCTTACTGTCATTTGTATGCTGTCCTCACTACTGTAATTGGTGATTACCTCATACTCACTCTTTGGATTGTTGGAAATCATCCCCAATGATCTCTGGGAATGCCTGTCTGCACTGGTTTTCCCACCTGACAATCAGCCTGCCAATCTGGGCAGTGTTCAGGCAGGAAGCATTTGAGGAATATCAAAATTAGGTTCTACCATTAAATAAGGGTGGACCTGCGTATTCCCAGATCTCTGTGATTTCTCTCAAAACCCGAACTTACCGCATGCACTCTGGGCCTCTTTATAAATGTCAGGCCATTGTTATCATCGAGATGGAGTCACAATTTGAGTGGATCTATTTCCCACCTTTGACAAATGGGTCTTTGAGCATCAGGTAACAATATCCATGGCTGATTTTGTATCTGCTGTTATTAGAAGAAGAAATTCAGTTTAATCTCAATCTTTATATAGAATATCAACAGTCATCACTGCCATATAAAGGTATTGACAGTGAATTATTACCAATTTTCCAAATAAAATACAATGTGCCTTTAATATACTTGGGGTCATCATTAAAACAGAGTACTTGAGGCAGAGTATACAGAAACACAGCGAACATTGTTGCCTGCATCATGGGTCTTCAAGGGACTACCAAGGTAATATTTTCTGACTGAGAAGTGATGATATCTTGGGACAGTGGATTCTGTTTAGGAAGGGGAAGAAGACGACTACCAGTCAGAGTTTAAAAATCATGGGATCCTAAGAGTTATTCGCACGTGATTACACTACAAATTGTTCTTACAGCAAGTCAAATCACATGTCAACAAAGAACTCTTGCAAAGTTTTACAGTTGGATGAGATGAATTTTGCTTGAATTATTACCAAGGAAGAAAGTACTGGGGCTCAGATCAGCAATTAAATGTGTACTATATTGACTTTGTCGAACAATAATACTGATTCTCACTGTGCTTTTACAAACCTTTAATACATTCTTCCAAATTGCATCCATGCGGTTTAAATGCAGGATTAACCGACAAATAAATGAAACAACAAATGCAGTAAAATAAAGTACAGAGAATATTTTTATGTGCTTGTTGAGCATTTTCAGAATATGCCTACTATTTTGCTGTAAGATGACATTGAAAAAATATTGCAACTAAATATCTTTTAATTTTCTCAGGAATAATCCTGAGAAATTGTGTTCTAGATGATGAGGGAATTGCTTTTTGGGAGCCTCCACGTTTTACCAGATGTATTTCCAATGACTACCAGATGTTGCAGTCAGAGGTAAGTGTGTCATTTGATGTATCACTATCATTGCAGAAGGTATTCTCTGATTTAGGGCTTTGTGATATCTATAAAGAATCAAATTTTAATGTCATCTCTCATCCATAATCTGTTACTTCTTTTCTATTCACAGTTCCACTAATTATGTACAGCATTTGTACCTAGTAGTATAGATGAGGACTCAAGTGATATGAGAGAAAATGGAAGTGTTGAGATAGAGGATCAAACATGATCATTTGAATGATGGAGCAGACCTGATGAGCTGACTGGCATATTCTTACTCCTATTTTCTATATTTCTATTTTGAACAATAACTGGATATTGTCTTCTGGTATTATTTCTAAATTTTGGTATTTTTTAAAAATATTTTTACGTTAGAGATTTAGTGAATTCTACAGACAATGAACAGGTGATGGCCAGGGGAGTTACCAATTTAAGAAGTTTGATGTTCTTATATTGTTAACTCTTAATATCCTACTGAATTGGCCCAATAAGTCACTTATTTGCAATAATGGTTTCCCGAGGCAGGTCCATGAAAGATTCTGAGGGGAGCTAGGGATGAGTAATTGACAGTGGCCTGGACAATGACGCCCTAACCCCAGAAAATTCTGTCAGGATCTTCTATTATCATTAATCAGCAATTGTAAAACTTATTGCACATTTCAATTCATTACAACAGTTTAAATCAATTTGACAATTTTTCTCTCACACTTTAATAGGTAGATTTTGTCATATGATGTCAGTGAATTTGAAATCAAAACCCTTATACATGTTGGGACCATCATGATGTCCTTAGCTACCAGCAGACTTCCAAAGAAGCACTTGGAGCAGTCCATCACCTTTTGATTAGGCACTGTACAGCCTTCCAGACACCGAATTCATCAATCTTAGATCGTGACTGTTTTCAAGTTATTGGTTATGATTCTGATTCTGAAAACCTACAAATCCTTCAGATAACCTGTTGTTTCTTTATGCCCCATTACACCCACATTTTGCCTTGGACCATCATCTCTCTTTTTACTTAATCACTCCAGTCTTTATCAAGAGCCTTTCCTTTTGTGCCTTCCTCCCTTTCACCTTTGCATCCCTTTCTGCTTGCTTAAAATCTATTATAAATCTAACCTTTGTTAGTCTGTTTAAATCCCATTGATCATACATGTTAGACAACAAGGTGCAGGGCTGGATGAACACAGCAGGCCAAGCAGCAT